TGTTTTACTTGGAATAAATATTTCAAGGTCTTCTCCTCAATGAAGGAAAGGTCAAGTGTTTTCAGAAGTGATTTGTGAAAAGAATCAATGAAAAATATTGTGATTTGAAGTTTGGTGGTTTGTGTTTTGAGAAATATCCAAGTAAAAAAAGGGTTGGCTAATCCATAGAATTATTCCAATGGGTGTGCTAAATAGACTCATTTCATTCAACCAATGGTGTCTCGGTGTTTGATTGATTCGTAGGAAGTGATAGATTAATGTAGTTGTGTTGGGCAAAAGAATACCTTGTGACAAGTCTACGGTGTATCAAGAGCCCACAACCACGTTTGCACTCAACCTAGTCAAACCAAATACTTTACACTACGAGAAAAAATGAAAGAGAGTCAATTTCACATACCCAAGATAAAATCCCTCTTGGATGAGCCAACTAAAGGTTTAGCTATGCATGGTATAGGCAAGAACAAACATGAAAGAGAAAAACATGGTAATGAAATCAAACATGAACTTGCATTAATGTAAGGAGAAGTTCAAACTACAAAAGAAATAGCATTCATACACAAAATGTAAAGATTAAAGAGAAAATACACAAATACAAGCAATTAGAACTAGTAAACCCTAGCTAAACTCAATAAAACTTGAAATAAACGAGATTAAAGTGCTAGAAAGAAAGATTACATGTGGATTGAAGCTTACAAGAATGAAAATGGTGAAGGAAAAGCAAGAACCCTAGCTTTCTCTCTCTACACTACTTCTATGCTTATGTAGCCTCTCCCTCTCTCTAAAGGCTTGATGATTTGAAAATGTGTGTAGGACAGCTCTTTATTTTCGTCCATCACCTTCTTTCTTAGCATGAGTGGCTAAATTGAAGTGATTGGAGAGAGGTTGTCCACAAAAGCAAGCAAAATCAGTTAAAGCATGGTCCTCCCATGCTCTTCCAACCACTCACTCTCTCTCCCTTCCTTTTCCACTCCCTCATCCTTCAAATCTGAAAATAGGGGTTAGGAGATCATCATGGAGTGTTGGAAATGACAGAGTGTGGATTAGGTGACAAAAGTTGGGCTTCCGTAGTTAGTAGAGTCGTGTGGAGAAGTGTCTGGGCTTTCTGGCATCTTCTACCAGTAGGTCATGCAGGCATTTTCCAGAAGGCTTTTCTACCAATAGGTTTTAAGTCTTCTACCAGTAGCTCTTGCATGTCTTCTACCAATAGCTCTTGCATGTCTTCTACCGGTAGGTCTTTTTTAGCTTTTGCAAATTTGTCATAACTTTTGATGCCACTGTCCGATTGAGCTTAAATTTTGACACAAGGCATAGGACATCTAGATCTACAACTTTCATGTTTTGCACTTTTTAGATTTGAAGTGGATCATGGTAAAAAAATGGGGAATACCAATGTACTGATACCAAATGGTCTGGGTACCGGTACCTATGATACCAAGTACCGATACCTCCTTGATTTCTTTCATTGTAAGCCTCCAAATCTTCATGTAATATGTCCATCTCTTCACCACTCATCCACAATTTGTTGTAGGGTTTCGAAAGCCATCAATTACCCTATGATTACATGTAACATCAAAATTTTCACATTATTCACAAATTCGACTAACTCTAAGTAATTAAATGCAAAATTGAATTAAAATACATATAATAAGGCCGAATTAGTTTGTTCGGGTCTCACATAAATCCTCCTCAAGGTCAGTTTCAGATAGGTAGCTCTAATCCTACAAACTCCTTAAATGAGCAACTCTAAGCTGTCAGCACTTGTAAGAGGGGTAAAATCTTTGATAAATCCCTACCACAGGCACCGATCAAACCTATTCATTTGCATGTGGTACCTGTTATTCTAGTCTCCCTTGATGAGACTGAGTCTAGAGAGGTTGAGGAGCATCCATGGCCTATTCCTGCTCCCTTCCCTCAAAGATTCAAGAGATCCCAGAAGCTAAGTAATCGTGTTGATATTTACAAGCTTTTTAAGCAAGTAAAGATCAATATCCCTCTTCTACATGCTATCAAATAGGTCCCTTCATATGCCAAGTTCCTAACTGACTTGTGCACGGTGAAAATAAATCAAAATGTTCAAAAAAGGGTCTTTCTTAAAGAACATGCGAGTGTCATTGTCCAACACAAGACTTCTCCCAAGTATAAGGACCTTAGGTCTATTCCTGATACCAAATGGTCTGGGTACCGGTACCTATGATACCAAGTACCGATACCTCCTTGATTTCTTTCATTATAAGCCTCCAAATCTTCATATAATATGTCCATCTCTTCACCACTCATCCACAGTTTGTTGTAGGGTTCCAAAAGCCATCAATTACCCTATTATTACATGTAACATCAAAATTTTTACATTATTCACAAATTCGACTAACTCTAAGTAATTAAATGCAAAGTTGAATTAAAATACATATAATAAGGCCGTTAAATATGCAATATTTACGCACTCAACACTGTTTCTAGCAGTTTTAGAGGTACCTTAGTATGCAGATATAGCTAATTATTTAGCTACAAGTGTGTTTCCTTCTTTTTTTCACTCATATGGATAAGAGAGTTTTTAATTAAGGTATGAAGTTTCTTTTGGGATGATCATTATTTGTTTAAATACTATCAATATTAGATAATTAGGTGTGCTCCTGATTTTGACGTCCATAATGTTATTAACTTTTGTCATAGTGAAGCATGTGAAGGTCATTTCTCTATATAGAAAACTACTGCAAAGATTTTGCAATGTAGATTTGATTGGCCAACACTTTTTCCAAGACACACATGCCTTTTGTTTATTATGTAACCATTGTCAAAGGTTGGGGGTATTCTCACGAAGGAATATTATGCCCTTCAATTCCATATTAGTGATTTATATATTTGACTATTGGGGGTGCTAACTTCATGGGACCTTTTCCCCAGTCATTTGGCAACATACACATTTTAGTAGTCGTAGATTATATCTCAAATTTGGTTGAGGCTATCCCTTGCCACAACAGCAATCATCGCATAGTGATCAAGTTTTTTAAAGAATATTTATTTTTGCGGTTTGGAATACCTTGAGCTATCATTAGTGACGGGAGCTTCACTTTGTAATAAATTGTTTGAAAATTTTATATGGAAATATGCTATTACACATTATGAACTCTATCATGCATGTTAAACTGAAATAAGTTAGCAACATGATAAATAAACTTGCTCTTGTAATTAATTAAATATTGAATGTTGTCAGTACAACCCTAATAACAATTGTATGATTGATCTTAGACATACTACTAACAGGTTACACTTGAGGTATTACTCTCGTGTCTAAGGTAAACATACATGCTTGCCTTTTATACATGATGGTAGTATGGTCCTCACAACAATGATAGTGTTGTCATCACAATCAGTTAAAATATTCGGGAAAATATTTTATTGTTAGAGACTCTCTTCCTAGTATAACATGAACTTTTAAAATGATGACGTGGCATTCCAGAAATGGTATCTTCTTGCCCAAGGTAGGATTTGGTGATAAAAATCATGTTCTACCAAGGCTGACCTTGATCTTGTGCCAACTCAAGTCAAAAGTCAAGTCGATTTATGGATGACCTGACTTGACATAAATCCGAGCTGAGTAATTTCTTTTGATATCATCAATAGCAAAAGTGGGTACATAAACATTGTGTTTGGTACAAAATTTTTTGAAGTAAAAATGGAATAAACATGAGAATAATGATATAAAGTTCAAAACGAAATGAAAGGTACATTACAATTTTGATGTTTGACAATAACTAGGACTAAGTGCTACAATAACATTGAAAATTCATTCCAATATTAAAACCTAGACCTTGAACGCCAAACTTGGGCCCAGACCACAAACCCAATACCCCTGTGGAGGTGAATGATGAGGGTGGTATGCGAAGGTGCAGTGGTGATGATAGTGGTGGTACTGGTTAGGATGATGGTGGCGACAAGTGGTGGTTGTTGATAAAAGCTAGCATCACCTCATATTATTTTTCGGAAAGTAACATCACCTCAAATTAAAGAATAACTAATCCTACCCCTGTGATATTAGACATTTTGTCAGGAATGAGAATCTATTTCCATTACTACAAATCAAGTATTGGGATGAATATTACTTAGTAATGGTTCAACTCTCAATCTCCATTACTACCAACCAAACTGACGTAATTACATCTCAGGTGGTTCCAGAATTTCTTGAATAAAGATGTCAGGACATAACCATTTCTAAAGCTGTCCAACCCAGATATCTAAGACTTTTGCGTGAAATAAATTGAGGCTTAAATCTTCTTTCGGTTAAAACATAAAGAACAAGCAGAACCATAGTGAAAAGACTTTGTTCAAATGCCATCTAAGACATTTGAGCAACTGAACTTCCATCGAGCATACAACTAAACCCAAAGGCTTCGGAAAGCTAGCAAGAAAGTCTTTTCATTCACCTTTACTTTTTTTGTTTTACAGATGCTCAGAAGCAAACTCCCAACTTTAATTTGCAGCTTTGCCGCAACCACTTTCCAAACGAAAAAATGTTGAACCACCCAACCCATCAATATTCCCGAGAAAAGAAAAGAAAAGAAGCAATCCTCAAAGAATTGATCAACCAAAGTCACAGAAAAAGCTTTGCAACAATACCTTCTCGGATATGCTCCCCAAATAGAAAAAATTGTTCAACCATTCTTCACAATTTTCGCCATATGCAAACTTTCCCCCAACCACAACTACCTCTACAATTAATAATGTGATAAAAATGCCTACTCAACTAATAAGAAACTGGAATGCTGTCCTACTCCTTGAATGCTGCCACATTATCCATATCTGCCTATACAGATGCATACAGTTCCCACTAGGCTTATTCGAGCTTAATGAGATAACTGAAAGAGACGATTCTTATCAGACACTTTTGTCTACAAGATAAGCAAGTATTATTCCTGCTCAAGTCAAGAACCCAGTTATGCCCAAAAGAGCATACAACCAATTTAGTCTTCAGCCCTTTGTGTATTTTGCAGATAAGCAGCAATTTACCTGTCGGCAGATGTGCGAGGCATTGGATATGTCAAGGGATCTATGTTCATCGGGGAACCAGGAACAACTTGTCCGGGAACTGGGGCTCTAACACCATATGCCATGTGTGCTTGTGGAGGAAGATTCACAGGCATGCCAACTGCTGAAACAAGGGGCCCTCCTATTGATTGCCCTATAGTCGGTGAACCATACATGCCAACTCCAGGGGGAGTAGCTGGCGCTTGAGGAGGCTGTTTGTTTGATTTGCCGGATGAACCTCCTGCAAAACCATTTGTTTGACCAGTGATTGGTCCTTGTGGATCCGAAACCTCTCCTCCATTGTTGACACTAGTGATATCATGAATGCTTGTTCGCCTCCTATCTTTGTTCATAGAGTTCAAACGAATGAAGTACTTCTGTGCATGACTAGCCACTTGTGTAGGCGTTCTCGTTACCACAAAATTACGTGATATACTTCGCCAGTCACCTTTCCCGTATTTATCCAAACCAAGAAGAAATAATCTGTTTTTTCAATAGACAAACACAAATTTCACAATAAGCCAAAATCATTGCACTGTCGATGTGGAGCTAAAGGTCGTTTCAAAGAGCACGAGAATATGAAGTACAAGAAGATAACACATGGTAGATGACATTTACTGTCCTGAAATGTCTCTTTGTCCATTGAAAATAAACTTGCACTGATCCATCAGTAAGCTTACAATGACAGCTCTGCGTACGTAAACTAAAACAGAAAACTATCACTTGTTGTAAGCATCTGAAAACTTGTGTTGAATCTATTGGATGCAAAATGAATTCACAAAATGTAGCTCCAAGAGTCAGATCAAAGACACAATGAAAAAAAAAAAATTGGATGCATTATACCAGACACTAAAGTTTCAATATCTGCATGCGTCCAAGCGCATGTGGATGCACAAGTGTACATCAAGCATAAGTCTCGGTGTTCCACTGTCCAACTTTAATCATGGGGTACCAGTCAGCTATGTGTTGCTTTGTTTGTTTCTGGAGCAAACATGTCAGTGTAGCTTCAGTGCTTACATTAAAGTTAATGCCTTGAAAATGAAAGGGGACCAAAGTTGATCAGTTTCAGAATATCGAGTCCTAAAACCTCAGGCATCATAATTTACCCAGTGCCCCAAAATGTAGTGTTTAAAAACAATATTGCTGTAGTAGTTTCTTTTACAGTACAAAAATAAGAAAACAATTGAAGGGTTCAGGTCTAAAACCCCCAAAAATTCTAAATACCAAAGATGGAGGGTATAAAATTATTGGACTTCTTCACCAAATAGGGAGAATGACTTCTCCAGTTCATTAATGTTTCACATAGGTCAATTTCCAATAACCTCCAGAACATAATTCTCAGATTCACTATAACATCTTTGGAGAGAAATAGTAATAATGGTAGGGCTTGATAACGATGAGCAAGGCCCACTCAGCCCCAGCCAACGGCCTGGGCAGGCTGCGGGTCGGTCTGTCCCTCCCAAACTCAGATTTTATTTGTTGGGCAATATTGGACTTTTAACGGATTACTCGTCAGGAAACAAACTCCCACCCATGACCCTACCAGGCCTAGCAGCCGCTGGCCGGACCATGGCTCAATAGCCTCCCAAATGCAGGGCCAGCCCATGTGCAACGGGCCAATTGGTGAGCTCTAGATTGTTAGGAAATTGATTGTGATTGATTAATTCCATGAGGTCACATGTAATTACCAAGCTACATTTAACGGCTTCTTGGAATCCTTCGAGCTTAGGTAAAGGTAAATGACCTAGATACCCAGTTGACTAGATTGGTTTAACATAGGTGATTACAATAGGATTTAGGTTTTAATCCGTAGCATGACTCCGGTATACTCAAAGAAAAAGCTTTTTGAAACTCACTATAAGAGTCATAGTATGGACCCTTGTCAAGTAACAGTCTCTGGTACTCAATAATGCTAGTTTTTTCTTTATTTTGGGCCTAAAACCCAGTAGGAACTGCTGGATGGTCCTTAGCCTTGCAGCTTGAGCAGTTTTTTTTTTCGGTAAGTAAGATGAATTTCATATAAAGTTGAAAAGAGATCATGTACAACGAGTAAGGACCACTTAGGGAGAAGCTGAGCAGTTTCTGATCACTTAGGGAGAAGCTGAAAAACCAACAATTAAGGACCACGGCTAACTGCTCAGGCAGTCTCCACTGTTGAGGCCTGGACAAGGTCCTTTTTCAATCTAGTAGCCACAACCCGAAGAAGGTCTATTGACCACTGGAGCAGTCTATCACAAATTTGGGTATTTTTGGACTCCAATTAAACTATATTTTCAGGAAACATATATGTGGGACAGTATTTTCTAGCTAAGGTGAGCTTCTTAAAGGTAAGAAAAGTCTACAAGACTACCAAGAGAGGTAAGAAACAAACCCCACTCTCCCAGAATCCAAAAGGTCAAAGATCTACTTGGATTAATGTTGAGCTATTGATTTTCTTTATTTAAGAGATAGGGTGATCTAGTAGAAAACCATTAAACCTACAGAGGAATAGAGGATCGAGGGAGGATTCCAAGGGTGAATCATGCATTTCAGTTCGTCACCTACTAAAGCTAGTGCTCAAGAGTTTGTGGTGGATTTTGTAGTGAAGATTCAAGCAAGAAAGTGTCTAACCATGGTATGCATTGAAGTATAAGACTTTAGCGCTTGTAATCCAACTCTGAGACTAGTGGATTAAGATAGATGGACTTCGTTCCCGTGATTTTTCTCGGAAGGGTTTCCACATAAAATTATTTGTTTTGTGGTTACTTGCTTTTTTGTCATATTTCCTTATATGCTTCTTGTTGTGAACGTGCAATATAGTGAACAATCAAGAAAAAAAAAATCAAGAATATAAGAACACAAGATTTACATGGTTTGGTAGAAATCCTACCTCCGTCGACAAGAAGGGTTTTTTCCTTCTCATTCTTATTATATCAGAATCCAAAGGGTTACAACATATTTATAGACACCGGTTAATAACCCTAATCCAAGTCAATCTAGGAAACCTATGTTGTTCCAGGAAAGGAGAGAAACGATGTGGATCTTCCCTCCCGATTAAACACGTGGAGCGCACGACACTATCTAAAGGGGGTGAATAGATTTTTCGATTTTAGCACAATCGATTACAAATTAAAACCTAATTCTACCTTGATTACTTCTTTTTCCGTAAATTTAACAATTAATGGTGAGAACCCCTTTTAATCACCACAAACCCTTACATCCATGACGATTGATGCTAATTAATTGTTCAATTAATTCCCTCAAACAATCAATCTCATGGCGATCTCAAAACCCAAACGCAACTATGGATGAAAAGAAGTCAATCCATCATTCATACAAACACAAGCGATTTGTTGGTGCAGAAAACTCTCCTCAGAAAAAACTACGAGGAACCACTAGGAGTTCACTAAAGCCTAATTCACTACTCACAAAGTTTACATAGAAGGACTCGAATTTTATACCTCAACCAATACCATGGTTAGATGCTCCCTTCCTTCAATATGTCTCTCCACCAAAAGCCCTCCTTTGACATCTTGTGTAGCTTCACTTGGATTCACCTCCACGAAGATCATCTAGACTTCGAGCAATCATGGACACACCAACGATTCCCGGTATGCACACACCAATGAGTTTAGTTTACCATTCAATAGCTTCACTCTAAGCTAGAAGGTTGAGTAGAATCTCTAGAAGGTAATCATAGGTCTTAGAGACCTAGGATTTGGTTGAAACTCTCTAAGTTAAAGATGAGTTTTTACTCCCAAACGGCTTATAAGAGGCTTACCCTAGCTAAAGAAAAGACTCTCCCCGTTTATAGGTCCGTAATAAAGGTAATCTTGATCAACAAGAAAACTCAAATTCGCAAACGACTGCTCAATCGGTAGGAAGGCAGTCATAGGGTGGTGGTCACGAAAATGAAAATTGAATTTTTATCTTTGGCCAAGGAGAGCAAACTACTCAAGCAACCATGAGACCACTCGAGCAAGTATATAGAGTGAGACCTATTCTCCTTCAGTGATCTTTCCCCTTTTCTCTTTCATAAGTTATAAAGAGATTGTTGTAGTGAAGGCTAGGGAGCATAGGGCGGTCCCTACTAATTTTTCAAACCTAAAACCAAGCAAAAAACTTGTTATCTTGAGTATTAAATAGTGTTGCTCAAGAAGAGGCCGCTAATGGCTCAAACAATGTTTTTAATACACAAAATGATTTAGAACATTTTTTTATTTAAAATCACTTAGGAGCCATACACAGATTAATCCCCAATTATATTTTAACTCTAATCCTCCTAAGTTAATTAAACTAATGGATCATCTTTGGTATTTAGATCATCTTTGGTATAAAGGTACAATCGGAGTGTAAATGAAATAATTTTTGACGTTTGATCTCCTTCCCTTCAATGACACTTTCAAATCTTCAATCGGAGTGGAAATGAAATAACTTTTGACGTTTGATCTCCTCCCTTCAATGACACTTTCAAATCTTCAATCTTGATAGCATTATAACAATAGAATAGGTTGAGATTTAAAGTAAAATCCACGAAATTAATCAATTACAAATATGTATCTAACATCTAGTCGTAGTAATCTAACACATCAATTCCTAATAAACGTCCTAATTTACCCAATCCTAGTAAGACTCTTCTGTCTGGTATACATTTGGAAACCTTGATATACCCATTCCTTGCCGCGGAGTATTCCCAGTCGCAGAGTGAACTCGTCAGGTATACCTCTGATAAGTGAACTCGTTGAATAACATCCAATGCATCCTTGAATTGAGAAGGAAGACAACCTTAAGAAAAGAAGCAACCTCAATCCCTAAGAAATACTAAAATTGACCCACATCTTTTATCTCAAAATGATCCTACAACCAAGGTTTCAAGAGTTATATGTCATTAGTGTCATAAACTATAATAATCATATCGTCAAAATAAAATAAAAGAACAATAAAACTAGAGGCAATAGATTGCACAAAGATAACAAAATCATGATCACTGGTAGGAAAACTCAAATCACAGATAACTGATAAAAACTCGACAAACCATGCCCTAGGAGCCTATTTAAGGCCATATAAAACCTTGTGAAGCCTATATACTTGACCAGGACTATGATCCAACCCAAGAGGAGTCATAAACACCTCTTCAAATAAATATCTATGGAGAAATGCATTTTTCACATTCATCTAAGACAAACTCCTTTGACGAATGGTAGTCATTGCAATCAAAGTGCGAACAATGGTCATCTTGACAACTAGAGCAAAAGTCTCATCATAGTTCTGGTCATACACCTAAACAAATCCCTTGGCTACAAGGTGAGCCTTATACCTTTCCACAGAGCTATCAGATTTGATTTTGATTTTATAAACCCACTTACAACAGATAATACAATTGCTAGGGGGTAAGGACACTAATTCCCAAGCTCGAGTTTTATTTATTGCAAATAGCTCCTCACCCAAATCCTGTTGCCAAAGAGGATCAAGAACAGCCTTATATAGGAAATGGATTCAAAAAGAGAGAATAGAAGTGAGAAATGAGGAAAAACCATAAGAATAATAAGAGTTGAAGAAACCAAACCTTTTGGACACTTCTAAGAGCGCCGAGGATAGCGAGCAGGAGGATCCACAATTTGAAAACTTGGTTGAGTGACAGGAGGCGAGAGGGAGCAGGAGGATCCATAGTTTGAGAACCTGCTCGCTGAGGATAGCAAGCATGAGGATCCATAGTTTAAGAACTGGGTTGAGTGACAGGAGGTGAATGAGGCGGTACCGCATCGGTAGAATTGGCAATAGAAGTCTTGCGAACATAAGTATCCACAATAGGAGGATAAGTAACAGTCTAATCAGAAGAAGAGGAAGAGGATGGCAGGTTAAACACAGAAATATCATCAACATATGTGTCCGTGAGGACATCAGCGAAAAAGGGATCAATATAAATGAGATTAGATTTATGTAGAGAAGATGAACTAAATGGAATCGAAAAGATAGGAATATGTTCCATAAAGATAACATGACGGGAAACATATAGCTTACGCATAATGGGATCATACCAACGATAACCCTTTTTACCCTCTCCATAACAAAGAAAGACATGTAAAACTGAGTAAGCAGAAAACTTGGTACGAAGAACACTAGGAAGCAAGACAAAACACATGCAAGAAAAAATAATAGGCTAGCCATATACCTGAAGTGAGAATGGTAGGAATGCAATTGATTAAATAAACTACTGTGAGAACTGTTTTCCCCTAAAAACAGCTAGGAACATTTGTTGACAACAAGATAGAGCAAGCTATCTCCATTATGTGGCGGTGTTTGTGCTCAGCAACACCATTCTGCTCGCCTGGGGGGTGGGGGGAGAGGGTTAGTACAAGACGATTGATAAATAATATCATCAGATTGCAACAAATCACGAAAAAGAGTATTCACCTCCTTGATCACACCGGAAGCATTTACCCAAACCAGGAAAGACCAGGCTTCAAACAGCAACCCAAAACATCACACACAACCAGCTGCTATTCTATAACAACCACCTTCCACCACCAGAAATCAGCAACCAAAAGAGAATCAAAATAGCCCAAAAAAATAACCCAGCAAAGAGATACCAAAAGAGAAAAAAAAATCCACAACAACCCAACATTCAATAATCAACAAAACCAGCCAAGAATTGTTCAGCAAAGCAGAAGATTAATAGCCCAATATAAAAAAAAAACAGCCCAATAACCCAATGATAGCCCAAAGTAGGCAGCAAGAGATTAAACTCAAAACAGAACCCAACAACTTCGCCAACCACCCAGATCAGTAAGGTCAGCCCAAAAGATAGCCTTCAACCACAGCAATTGACGTGCAGTGCCTTCAAGTCTTACACCACCAATGTCTTCACCGACAGCCTCTCTCACCCCACCAACAAAACTCAAAAAATCAGCAAACCAAAGAGAAGAAATCAGCAAAATACCAATGCCATAGCACTCCTAAGCAAAACATCTACCGGCCCAGTTGACTAGTGGAACAAAAGCACATCACAGTGGCCAGAAAACCAACAGCCAACAGTGCAGATCCCCAGATTTCCAACACAAATCAGTTCTAAGGAACTCAAAGCCACCAATCGAGTATCAACAACACCAAATTGCACCTTTTATGACAGATCAGAGGCTGAAAATTCACAGAAACTTCCCAAAAATTGCAGAACTAAGAATTTGAACCTTATTTTCCAAAAAATATTTGAAAAATCAAAAACCTTAACAGATGGGCATGAAATCAGAAACAACTAG